CTAAATGTTATTATAGGTTATAAAATGCTGTCTTTAAAATATTAAACATAACTTTATTTGGATTTGTAACATTAGGAAACATCCCCATTGTGGATGTCTATGGGCAGCGGTCGCTTCACCATTTTGGCGGATTCTAGTGTCCGCTTGCTCGTTTGCCACCTTATGTTATAAAAAAGAAAAAAAACACGTACGTAAAAGTTACTAGTTGCTACTAGCTTCGACTTCATCTCCGCGTAGTTAATAGAAAACTCAGTGAATATCCTAAATGTTTTTACAAAGTATGCTAGTACTCGTCTGTGCTAAATTTAATAAGATTCGTCAAGTTGTTTTAAAGACACTACAAACCTCCAGCCATGCTTCTAATCAATCGCAAATATAATTTATTTTTCTTCTCAAATAATTTTACTTGGGGCTTTTTACAAGTATCCAATTGTGGGTATTTAGTGTGCGCCTAACCTATAACCGTGTTATAACAATAATCTCACCAATAACATCGCGTGCGAATTAACGAAGGGTCGCGTAGGACACGGAAGTAATCCCTTTCTGTGCGTCCCCTCCTCCGACAATTAACGTATTTGCAACTGCAGATGTATGGTAGCGGCTTTTCGTTGAATTTAGGTATTCTCTTGCTCGTTTGTTGTTTTATTACAAAAAAAATCTTATTCTACAAAAATCGAAACATCGTGTATCGAACACGAAAGCAAGCAGCCTCTGACCCTCTACGCCGCTTTAGTATTCTGTGCCAGTAAGTCACGTCTCCAGCCAAATCGGTTCGTGTGTATACGATCGCTATCTAACTACCTCTATGTATGTGGTACAGTAAGTGCAGAAAACAGTAAACAGAACATAACTAAGGAACCTTACCATAAAATCTCGTACAGTGTTTCAAATTTGTTTCTTAACAGTAATAGAGTCCACTCTAACATCTTCATACGAATTGGCCGGCTCGCGTGGTAAAATACCACGACCACACAGAAGACAGGCGTGAAGTGGAAGCAATTCCGCGTACAGTCTGATGAGTGTGGTGTCGGAGGTCTAATGGTAATCCCTTTCCACCCTTTTCTTAAGAGGAAAAGGATGAGAAGGAAAAGTGGTTTTGATGGTAGAAGAGATGCATAGGAAGGGGAAGTATCCTCTTTATGTTCACCTCCTCCGTCGATCAAGTTAAGAATCTGCAATTGCCGATGTCTATGAGCAGCGGTCGCTTCGCCATTTTGGCGGCTTCAGGTGGCCGCTTGCTCGTTTTCCACCTTATAATGTAAAATAAGTACATTTTAACTTAGGTCATGTAACCGTTTTATATAGGCCAAAAATTCCAAAAGTTATTACGTGTACTGAAAGCAATGTGACATTTTTTAATTTTCGGGGGAGAAATCTTAATTTTTATAAAATAGACAGGATCATGTGAGATTTCTACTCGCTAAAAACCCCCTCGGTGGCCGCCCTCAGGTGCGATTTGAGGGTCCCGGTATCGGTCCCGGTATCCCAGTGGAACGCACGGGTGCTTGACTGTGGCTTCTTTTTCTTAAAGTGCCGTCTTCTTTCGAAGCTCGGCGATCATTAGGGCTTAGGCACCCCTAAATTGGGTGAGGCTCCGAGCCGCTCAATGCGGATACCTTTATTTTAGTCAGTAATAAACAGAAAGAAAAATGCGTTTAAAAATGCTTATTGAATAAATGGAGATAAAGATATAATTTTGAATCAGTGTACAGGTACTGGAAAATCACAGTTATGGATTCCATTTGGACGGATTATTGCGAATGAGATAACAATTGCTTGCCGTTTCATTAATCTAATCTATTCAAAAATCCCTGAAAGATGAAACTAAAAGGTTTACTTTAAAAATAAAGGAATGTTGCTTTTAAGTAGAAATACTGTTTACTGTTTATCGAATACTTTCTCAAGATGTGACAAAAAAATATCCACCCACTGTAAATATGCAGAATGTATGCATACAAATTCTTGCTGTAATCTGGAAATTATGTCATTTGTCATCTTTTAAATTTACGTAGTAAATTCGGAGTTTTGTTAAAACAATACATACGTTACAATACAGCAATGCGACGCTAATGATGTCTTCTCTACTTAGTCCATATGTGATACAAAATGTTTTATTTTTTACGAAAGTTTCGCAGCTCAGACTCTCAGAGTAGATAAGAGTGTACGTTTTACTTCTACTCATGTGGTACAGAAGCATATATTTTGTGAACGTCGTATATTTTTTTTTAAATAAACAAAAGTACCATTATGTTTTAGATTAGAAAACAGCGGAAAGATAACATCTAATCAAGTACTACCTAACAAGAAAAACAGAAAATAAATAAATGAAAAAACAAAGTCACTGTTGTTGCCGAGTATAACGTAATTATTCTATTTTTGTTATACTTCTATCCTCAATATGCTCCACCGGTGACTACGCCTTCGCACATCCTAATCCATTGCGGGTTGGTTGACTTCACACACTGTAAATTTCGGCGTCGACATGTGCAGGTTAAATCTTCACCGTAAGAACGTTGGATAATGTAAACACAACTCAAGTATTTTATTAAAAAGTCAATCGAAATTGTATAAACTTTTTATTCATATTTACTATATAGTGTTTGTGGTTTGGAAACTAGCTTTCGCTAGCGACTCTGTACGCGTACAATTAAAAAAAAAACGAAAGTGAGTAGCCTATGTGTTCTTTCAAACTATCTACTACGTCTATGCCAAATTTCATCAATTCTGTTCAGCCGTTTAGGATACAAACACTAACAAACATCCATCCATCTAAACTTTCGCATTTATAATATTAGTAAGATAAATGCTATTGTTTGGTTTGGTAATATGAATTTTGAGCCAATAGAAAGTGGGAGAGAGAGAACTTGCAGGTGCAGTTCATAAATCTTTTTGTAAAAAAAAAACGATGACTTCCGTCGGAAATGTTACTTTGATTGATTGTAACGTAAAGCAAGTAAAAAAATATAGGTGTGTATTGTTAAATGGTCAACTTTACAACTTTATTTAAACAAGAATATTTAACATGCGGGTGAACCGATTAACGTCACTAAATGCAATTAAGCGGAACGCATTTACCATACTGATTTTAGTACCTACAAACAACTATACGCTTTAAATTTTCTCTCTTACATTACTATTTAAATTTATTTTGTTGTTACGATTTTCAAAAAATATCGTTAAATGTGGCTCGTGTTTTTAAGGTAAATGAATTTATTAGAGCTCACTTGACTATTTGTACGAGAGACAAGCTAAAAATATAAAATATTTAATTTTTCACAACCGGTACCAATAAAAAGTATAACTAATCTGTATTTTAACAGTCATCACGAAGATATGATTTGTGATAATCGGGCGTCTAATAAGACGGAATATTCCTAGCGGAGTAAATCTGTAAAGTTAAGTTTGATATCTATATTAATATTATTATTATAATTATAATTTATTAGTAACACAGGCTATATTTTTAAATTTCACGCGGTCAGAGTCGCGAGCAAAATCTATAGTAAGTAAACAAGGAGAAGATGCAAATCCTATGTGTTTATTTCTTTTTTAAACGTTTCTACTAGTTAGTAAAATAACCAGAAAAACATATAAGACATGTAATATAAGACAAGACACCATTAAATTTATATCTGTACTCTATACTAATATTATAAAAAGGAAAACTTTGTATTTTTGTATTTTTGTATGTATTGAAATAACTCAAAAACCACTGGGCCGATTTTAAAAATTCTTTCGCCATCAGAAAGGTAATTAATCTGTGAGTAACATAGGGTATATTTTATTATTACGAATGTTTAGGAACTATTAATAAACAACGTGTTTCTGGACACCGACGTTAAAAATTCACTAAACTTAAACTTTTCTCGACATACGCTGCCTAAACCGTTAGAGGTATATAAAAATGACGTATGAAAGAATTGTAGATCTCAAAAAGTTCTATAGAAAAGTCCGCGATAGCATATATCTATCTTTAACGGTTTTCTTACAATAACCACTTTTTTGTTAACAAAATGAATTAAAAACCTTACGTTATTTGCAGCGTTCTTTTATTGGTTTCAATATTAATCCTTATCCAAGTAAATGCGTTTGTTATCAGGAGAATTTAATGAAGAATAAAATTGTCCTTTACAGTATTCAAATTGGACTAATAGTTTAGAAGATATCGCAAACACAAACAATAAGGGTAACCGAAAAATCAGCTTACAAGCTACCGGGCTTAGAAATTTGGAATCTTGCATCGGTAGATTTCTGTTATTTCGTAGATTACTACTAAGTTAATACTTTTGGTAATAGGTTGAAAAAAGGGCGAACGTAATGGGTTACATTTGTTATTCCACGCGGGCAAAGTCGCGAGCAACAACTAGTCTAAAAATATATTAAAATGAAAATATTTTTTTTGAGACTGTAATATGTAATTACTTTATGAATATCTGCTAAATCGAAAAATGTTTTCTCTCCCAATTCACATAGAAATAAAACCAATTAAGTTCATTTTAATTAATTTAATTTATCTAATACATTTATTTTACACTTATGATGGACAAACATTTACACAACATTAAACCGTGATTTTGCCTGTACAGAACATGCCAATCCTAAAATTCTCTTTGAAAACTTGGAGATAACAAACTTCTCATACAGGTATTCCGGCAGTGGGAGCCCACGGTAATGCACAAAAGAAGCGTATTAACCTGCGCTTAAGTAATTTATCACTAAATGTAATGATAAAAAGTTAACGTAATATATTAAAATCACCAAAGGTTTGAAAACTTGAGCTAAAGAATGAATTCGTTCATCCGACCTAACACTTGAAGCGATGATTATTTTATTTTTTCTTGATTCATCGCTTTTCTTTTCGTCTGCAACTGCTGTCTGTGTAACCTCGGGTTGGATGCAATTCTGAGTTACCTATAATGGAATACGATATTTTAATTACATAATGTTGTAAAGTTTGATAAGTTTACCCTAATCATAAGATGTAGCGAAAGTTAAGTCGTTAACTGAACCCTTTCAAACTAGTTTATTTACGAAAGTAACACATGGCCACTTGACTGTCGATTTTATTACATAAATACGAGTAGTAGTGCCATTACATAATTAGTATTAATTATGAAGAAATTAATTTTTACTAATATCAAAACTCAAATTTTGCAGCTGGTATACATATATTTTCAAGGCAATATTTAATGATAATCATACGAAATGTAATTGAAGAAAAGAACACAAAATAACATTTCACCGTGTTTATTTCAAAATCTATCAATACTTTAAACGAACTACGAGAGGTCATCGATTCGTGTCGTCATTTTATTGCTAGCACAGTGGAGTGTAGATATATCTTGAATTAAATCGTTAATCAAAGCGGATCTGCCGCCATACACCACTTGGCTATAGTTTGTTATTAATGATCACATCTGAAATTTTTATCCAAAAACATTTCGCTGGATTTATTCATATTGAAACGTTTTAGTCTAAAATCTGAAAAACCTTTAAACTAATAATATTTACAAATGTACATTATCATAACAAAGCCTACCTTTTTTTCGGTTGTATTATTGCTAGTACACCGATGGGCCTGATGAGCTAGACAAGCTGCGTAAGCAATCGCATGTGGTATGTAGCTTTGCTCCACCACTCCCGTAAATAGCACTGTTGCCATAGGTCCTTAAATAATGTAATTTACATGTTAAGCAACTAATTATTTGGGGATACTAAGTAATTTGTATTTAACCTGCAGGACAAGAATACGAATGGAATGAAAGCTAACAATTCAAAACAGTTCAAATCATTTAGGTTACAGATTGTGACAATTAAATAGACAGACAAGCCCACTACATCTTACCAAGTCTTATAAAAAAGAAGTCTTCACAGTCTGTATTAGTATTCAAACCTTCCATAATTTCAACCATGTTTGTTATTGTCAAGTATGCAAGCTATGATACTTCTTACCGAAAGCATAAACTGGTACGTCCTCTCCGCCATGTGTGGACCACATCTTAGGCGCAGCGGAGCTGTGGATCACATCATGCTTCGGTATATACTTAGTGCCGTTACTAGGCAATGTCCTCGGTTCAGAATGTCCAGGGCCAGTTCCATAAAGTATTGTTGTATACCCCAAATCATCAATATCTGATACATATTTATCACCATCTAAAATAACAACTAAATTTTATGCACAAAAGTTCTTATTTAACGATTAACATTTTTAACCAAATTCCGTTTATTTTATTTAATATTATACCTAGAATTGGATGACCTCTGGGTGTGGCATAACCGCCAAATGTCATTACTTGTCCGTGATCTGCTGTGACTACGATTAACGTCTCCGCAGGATTAACTCGTTCCAAAGCAGCTAGAAGCGCAGTTTCCATTTCCAACGTTTCATCGAGAGCTCTATGTGGATTATTATTATGATGACCGTGATCGATTCTTCCTCCTAAAAGACAATATTGATTTTAATACAGGATTACAAGTAACATTCTTGTTTTATGTATAAGATTTATTTTGTCTACCTTCAATAAACAAGAAAAATCCTTTGTCATTCTTCAATAGTATTGACAATGCCATTCTAGTCATATCAGCCAGCGAAGGATCGCTATCTTTGTTATTATTCGTCTCGTCTTTCTTATCGCGATCAACGTTAAAATCCATATGACTGTACTCGAATAAACCTATAAGAAAAATATGTTGTGAAATTGTAATTGTTCAATTTTATTACATTAGATTATAGTAAAATAAATCGGCATAGTTGTACAAAGAAAAAGCGTCTAATAAGAAAAATAGCAACATTATTCTTTATTTTACGTTGTCTAGTTAGACATTTATACGTTTGTTGACAAGATCATCGTCAGGTGGTATGAAGGGTGGGCAGCTAAATCCTGCCTTACCTCTTTAGAGAATCAAAAAATTTAAAACACATATATAAGCTCATTCGAATAAGACCATAAGAATGGTAGCTGATTTGCAAATGCCCATGGAAAAGATATATTACAAGTATACTGTGTGAGCAAAAACAGTTTTGTTTTGACGCCCATTTGACATTAATGAAACATTTACATTATTACACTATGAAGTGGACATGGAATAAAAGCTACCACTTGTAGTCCACTCACTATGGAAATACTAGAAGCACAACGTAATGCTGACGAACTGAATTGGGAAAAATGTATGGCATGTTTATGTTATAATAAATAATAAAATGAATGCATAATTGAACGAAATAGGAGATATGAGATTGTAAAAAATTCGTTTATTTCGCTCCTTCTTCTTTAATTTTAGAAAAAAAAAATAAGCAACAATTTGGTACGCCTAGACTAAAAAATGGAAAATGTTGTCTGAATCACATTTGCTTTTATACATTTACATACATTACATTACACTTCACATAATATAACAATATTTACAAAATAATTGAAATCGTAAAAAGCATAATTGGAGACCGGACTTCGAATTTGATCTGACGTTATGTGTCAATAACAACTAAAGTTTGATACCTAATAAATAATCAGTAGTTCGTGGATCGACCTTGGCGAGCTGGTCCCGCGAATAAATGTACTGGGCACGTTGTTGTCTCTTCTTTTTGTCTCTGACCCAATCCTCAGCAAGGTTACGTCCATCGAGTCTTTTTCCCTCTTTGTCTGGATACTCTGGGTCCGTTGTAATTCTTGACAAGAAATGCCTTCTTCCACCTCCCATAATTACCTTTTAAAAAGAAATATTTAACTTATTTGTTTTATTGTGATTAATCGTTCATAGTATTAAATTAAAAGGAAATTTAAGAATTACATAAAATTGAACAAAATTGTTTTTGTTCATTCAGTTTACATCACAATTAACAGAAAAGTAGATTTATCTAATTTATTCATCCTCGAACACAAAATTAAAACAATAATTTTTATAGAATTTATTATGTAATATTTTTTTTATTTAAATCATATAAATATCAGCATCATCATCATCATCATCAGGTCACTATACGTCCCCATCGAGGGGCTCGGAGCCTACCCTAATAGGGGGTGACTATTACATAAATATATAATGTATAAAATAAAAAAATATATGGATGTTCGGTACAGTTCGTACGGGTTCGCCACATTCGGTGGCGAACATAATTTAAATTTCGCGCTCCGGGTTAGTGCGGGTAGCCGCGCTTATTTTTGACCGACTTCCCAAAAGAAGGAGGTATTCAATTCGACGGTATGTTTTTTTTTT